TGTGTGTATATATATAATTTTTCATCAGATTCTTTTCCATTATAGGTTATTATGTATATTGCACATCGTCCCCTGTGCTGCACAACAGGTTGCTGTTGTTTACCTATTTTACATGTAGTAGTATGTACATACATTAATCTCAAATTCCTAATTTATCCCTTCCCCCCACCTCTTTCCTCTTTGGTAACCACAGTTTGTTTTCTATGTCTGTGAGTCTCATTTTTGTAAATTAAGTTTTATTGGCACACAGTCACACTACTCAGTTTACTCACTGCCCATGGCTGCTCTCGCACTACAAGGCAGAGTTTACCTCCTGGGCCTTTACAGAAGTCTGCCAATGCCTGCTTTAAACCACATTCAGTGGCCTGAGACATTCTCCACACGGCTGAGACCTTGATTTTCAAAATCAGGTCTGCGAATCAGCACCGTCAGCATCACTGGACACTTAACAAGAAAAGCTGAATCACAGACCCAACCCTAGACCTGCCAAGACAGAACCTGCCCTTTAACCAGACCTCTGGGAACATCTGAGGAGCAGTCTGAGAATCAGAGAAGTCAGAATTAGGAGGAATCCCAGAATCCTATGGACAGATTTCCTGATAAACACAGAAATGATTTTAATGGTTATCCTTCAGAGCCATTCCACTGAATATCTTCAGCAACAATGAGAATATCTTTATATTATTATCTGTAAATCTACTAGGCATACTTTCTATTTCTATATTCAAATCATCAATAAAAATATCCAAAAGTATAGGTTCAAAACCAGATTCTCGGGTGAGTAAAGAGAGCTCCCTCCAAGTCATCTCTGAATGTAGATGTTAAGTCCACAGCGGACCCGACGATCATCATCCAAGTCTCCATCACCACGGTAACCACAAGCCAAGACTGTCAGGTACACAAGTGGGATGGAGACAGCAACACATCACAGCTCTGTACTTGGACCAAACGTGAATTCTCACTCTCACATGTGCTAGCAATGTAATCTTAGAAAGCAAGGATTCAAATCCAAAACAGAATTCACATTATTATTCTAACTGATCACTCCACAAATTTGTGTTTCTTCTCTTTCAGTGTTTTCCCTCGGTTTTATAAACCTGCTTTTGTTTTTCTTTAATTATAATCCACATGGTTTCCTGTATTTCAGAATATTCCCTATTCAAAATACATACTATTTCATAGGTAAACAACAAGGACCTTCTGTAGAGCACAGGGAACGATATTCAATTCCTTGTAATGAGCTGTAACGGAAGAGAATCTAAAAATATATGTGTGTGTGTGTGTGTGTGTATATATATATATATATATATATATATATATATATATATAAACTGAATTGCCTTGCTGTATACCTGAAACTAACACTGTAAATCAACACTTAAATAAAAAATAAGAATTTAAAAAATACACACTATTTCAAAATTATAACATGCCAGATCATAATGCATTTTCCATATACTATTATACTCAAAAGTGGTAAAGGGCGAAGCAACTAACATCACGTAACTGCTAAGTTTGGCATCCCGTGGAAAACAGGTCAGAGCCTGACGCACGCACGGCTCTCCACAGACAAAAAGGCCCGCGTGCACTGTGCTTTTCTAACAGCAGAATAAAAACAAAACCAGACAGACTTCATCCGTGTCTGCTTTATCAGCTAGTTTAAAGGGCAACACTGGTGTGGCCCTTTCAATCATCCCCATGCAGATAATTAACAGGAATAAAAACTAAAGACAATGACTTCAAATATCTCAACACATTAGCATAAAATCAAACTAATGGACCACACGTCATTGTTTCTTGTTATTCAGAAAAGTCACAAAACTCAAAGGGAGTAACCTGAAGGAGCCATGAAAATTAAAACCTCACAGCAGAAGACAGAACATGCACTTCAAAAGTCCTTTAAGTGCATCTTAATAAAATATGCGTAATGCTTTATAAAGTAAAAGCTCCTTCCATTATATTCAAGTTTTCCAAAGAGTAGATTGAAAAAAAAATTATCTCATTTTGTTATTGTTGCTAAAAACTCAAAGTGGCAAAACAACGCTGGAAAGGTAATTCATTCTCTCCCTCCAGCCTATTCTCCATCAGTCCTGCCAATAAACTTTTAGAAGATAAAGTCTAAGCAACAGAAACAAATCTGCCTAAGAATGTTTATTGGACACGTGCACATACGTTCTCTGCTCCTTCTAGAGATCTCATTAAAATGACAGCAAAAGGACTTTTCTCTTTTTAAAACATAAACCCATAAGAAAAGACAATGTGGAAAATTAAACAACAGTAACAAAACCCTGAAGTGGAAAATCAGAGGAACAAACACTAAATAACCCGAGAAAACCAAATACCAAGCTGATCGTGAGGGAAGCTGAGTGGCAACCTGATCTGTAACACAGACCGTCTTGATCAGTATTTCTCCAAATCAGACTCAAGCTGTGCTATCCAATACGACATCTACGAGCCACACTGTTAAAGTTAAATTGACAGAAATTAAATTAAATTAAAATTCAGTTTCTCGGTCACATCAGCAATATTTCAGTCACTGACAACTACACTGAACGGCACAAACATAAACTAGTTTTACCATCACAAAATATTCTATTGAAGCTGAAGGAGAAAACAAAAAAATTTAAATGGTACAATATACAGGAATGCCAAGAAATCAAATACATAGGAATAAATCTAATGAAAGAAGGACAAGACCCTAACATTATCTGAAGGAAATCCTATACAAACGGAAGGGTATATATACCATGTTTATGGACTGGAAACAACTACATTTTTAAAGTATCAATTCCCCCTAGACTGAACTATGGATTCAAACTCAACCAAAATTCTACTAGAACTGTTTAGTTGACAAGTTTATTCTAAAATGCATAAAGAAAAAATAATAATAAAATAAAATAAGATGCATACAGAAATTCACAGAGCCAAAAGCACCGAGACACCTTGGAAGAACAACACATTGGAAGTGCTCATGCTGTCAGATACTAAGACTTACTACAAAGTACAATGAACATATGCAGTTCTGCAGCAAGAAAAGGCAAATAAATGATAGAACAAAATAAAGACTTCATTAAGGCATCTGCATAACAGAGACTCTAAACATCTGTAATTAGGGGGAAAGAAAGGCATCCAGACTGGAAAATGAGGAATAAAACTCCCTCTGTTCACAGATACCATGACCTTGTACATAGAAAATGGGAGAAAAAAAAGTCACTAAAAAAAACTATGCAAACCAATAAAAAGAGCTCAGAAAAACTGCAGAATAAAAGAGCAATATACAAAAGTCAATTGTATTTCTATAAACTTGCAACAAAAAATTGAAAATGAAGTTCAAAAAACAGTTCCATTCACAATAGCATGAAAAGAAAAAGAAAAAATTTATAAATAAATTTAACCAAAAAAAAAAAACCCTCAAAACTTTTACTCTGAAAACTTTAAAGCACTTTTGAAATTAAATATAATCTAAATAAATGGGAAAGCATCCCACGTTCATGAGTCTGAACACTAAATATTGTTAAGATGGCAGAACTCCGCAAATTGATTTACAGCTTCAAAAGATATCCAAGTGACTAATAAGCATATGAAAAGGTATTCAAACACATTAGTAAGCAAGAAAATAGAAACTGAAATCATGGAATATCTAAAATTTCTTAAGAATGACAAAAACATGCTCATATGTGGAACAAGGGGTTTTAGAGCATAAACTGGAATTTAAAACTTACTTCAAGAGCTCATAATTCTTCTCATTTAATCTCACAGCATTTTCTCTCCAAAACTTCTCAGATTTGTGCACAGGACTCCATTCCAATCTTCCAGACTTAAGTTCTGAACTATATTCATCAAATGAGCTATAAAAATTTTTGAAGAATTCAAAATTTATAAGAATCGGAGAGATATACCAAAATTTAAAAATGTAAAATGTCTTCACTGATGATTTAACAACAAAGACTGACTTCCTTTGCACATTCACAAACTCCCACTAAACAAAATTTAGACAGCTTAAATAATCCTCTATAAATCATGTGAAATGTATTCGGGGTACTAAGGGGCAATACTCCTGTCGAATTTGAAAGCTCATCATCAGATAATAGCAAGAGCACTTGCTTTCAGAATCCTTGCCCTAATATTCACATAAATGTGTATCACTAAAATATCTAGTAATCTAGCATGACTTCCACCACGCCACCTAAAATACTATTTGCCAGACCACTAGATACATTAATGGGAACTGATGTAAAACTATATTACTTTAACACAAAATATAATAGTACGTTCTAATTCTATTTACCATAAATGTTGTGAACTACGATACTGCACTAGAAAAATAAAAACACGTATCACTAAAATATTTTCGAATGTGACTACCAACAATGTAGCGGGAATTCATTCACTGAATTAGCCCATTAAAGATTATTAAAAACAAAAACCTCCATGCACATTACAAACTGCAGTGCAGTTTGATTCAAAAGTTATTTACCTGTACTGAGTAACAATCATTCAAAGCTTCATAACATGAAAATGTTTTAACGTGGTTAGCCAGTGAACAAACGTAATGACAGGACATGCTAGTACTTTTTTTCAAGGAAAAATTTCAAAAAGAAGTAGCCATTTAATGCTGATTGGTAATTCAATGTAGAGGATTCACTGGTTAAGCTGGCCAGAGCACCCTGTCAAGTAGTAATTTAATGTAAGGCTAGTTAGTGTAAGAAGTAATCTTATTCATTTTTTTAAAAGGGCTCAAATCATTATTACAAAAGAATAATAAATCTTTTAAATAAATATAACAGAACAGAATCTGTGTAAACTGCAAGCTTACTGGTGGCCTATAATATTACAATCAACTTATTCATATCTGAAATTATAGGATGACAAAAATCATTTGCTTTCCTCCACAAAACTCATCCAAACCACTGACATGGGTGATAACTCCCATCTCTACAAAAGCTCTCGAACCTTGGGATCATGGGCTGCACTGAACTGCCCGGTAAATACACTTCTGGAATACACACTATACTGAAGGCATTTGCTGGACAACTCACGGCAAATACTACACGGTTGGAATTTTATCACTATTTTACCAAAAGGAAAACTGAAACTAAAATGGCAAGAAGCTTGTTCAAGGCCACATATGGAGAAAGTAGCCAAACAATTCAAACAAGAGTCAGCCTGGCTCCCAAACCCAATCCACTCGTGAGAAAGATCTATTTCTAGCAAGTAACTCTCTTGTGAAAGAGGATGTGACAATGAATGTATGTATGATCATGTATAACTGAAAAACTGTGCTCTACACTAGAATTTGACACAACATTGTAAAATGACTATAACTCAATTAAAAACTTGTTTAAAACAAATAACCTTCTTAAAATGGTTAAAAAAAGAATATTCAACTTCTCTTTTTCTTTGATTAATGTTTGATTAACTCAGATTGAACAGATTAAATGCCATTAAACAACAACAACAACAACAAATGTATCAATAGTTTAAAAACACAGAATACATGGGTTAATGGGAAAAATCATCAAGATACCACTGAACAAAAAAGAACAAGGTCAAGAAGAGTATGCAGAACCCCATTTGTGCGTGTGTGCACGTGTGGGCGCCGGGGTGGGGGCTAGAAGGATTTTTGGGAAGTAAACACCAGAAGCCAGAGGGGCGGGGGGAACGAGGTAGAGAAGGTGGGGGCAAGGCTGGTGTCTCTTCTGTTAGTGCAGAAGGGATTTTTTTTTCTTTACTGCATATACATTATTTGCATAATTTTTAATATAAAAAATAAATAAAACCAACAGGAACTTCAAAAAAGCCGGGAGAAACAAAACTCTTCCCACATATGAGCAAACCTCCTCCATGAATTAACAACGCCTGCTGCCCAGAAAGGTTCCCAGAGGGCGGCACCAACAGCCTGCGGATTCCAGACACACAGAACCGCGCGACCTCCCCGACAGGGAGGAGGCGACACTGGCCAGGACCAGTTGTTGCCACGCGGCTGAGCCGGTTTTTCCGTACCTCCCAAGTTTTAACAGGAGACGTGTTTTAGTGCAGTCTTTTGAGTTGATAGTAGCAAACTGAGATTCCCTTAAAATACGAGGCAAGTTTAACAAGGCCCGAGGTATCCAGCCTGCGAGCATTAAGAAGAATGACATACCTAAGGTCTTGGACACTCTCACCAAGTTTCTCCAAAAGGAATTTTATATCCTCACTGATGTCCTCATCATCGTACTTCTGCTGTTCCAAGTTCTCCAACTGCTTCAGAACTTTGCACTGAATCATAGCCAGAGCGTACTCTTGGCGAGTTTCTCTTTCAGTTGACTTTTCTAAGAAGTTCTGGGTTAGACAAAAACATGATGAGAAGTGATTATAATCTGTTATGTTCTCAGTCCACCGCTGTTCTCAGACCACTGCTCTTGCAGACCACTGCTCGCTCCTCCTCCTGTTCGTACGTGAACCATCACTCTTAAGTGGATGCCTGTATTGCAAATCTGCACTGCTTTCCCCGGCACCAGAACCATATCAGAAGCGTACCTCTGATTTTTTCCTTCCTTATTGGCTTACGAACATTTTATATGACTGACCCGGGCAAGCCTCAAAACACTGGACACATTCACAATTAAGTCCATCACGATGCTTCCTCACAGCCCTGCTCCTGAGCACACCACCACGAACGCTCCATTCACCGGCCGCGTGGAGCACTTCGGATCCCGAGGAAGACTGGAGAGCTACACTCCATATTTGAGATGTATCATAACTCACGGTTTCAACTGTGAACTCAACACAGTCAAGA